AGATTTGCAATTTTAATCCTATATTTTTTGTTATCCTCATAATTATTCCCGTAACTTTACTCACATGTTGATTAGGTCCTTTAACTAATAGGTCTTTGCAGTTTAAAGAATTTCCAACTGAAAGTAGACTTTCTGGCAAAAAAATCAACATTGGCGGCATATTTGGTGGTGAATTATCGGTAGGGATGTCAAAAAAAACCCGACCCGCAATGACCCGCCCTGGCCCGAGACATTTGGGGCGGGTCTGCCCCGCCCCGCCTATACAATGGGGCGGGTCCGGGTATTAGAATTGACCCGTGCCGCCCCGACCCGCTCAATATATAAGTATACATACTTTTTCTTAAATTATACTACAAATATACTTCAACATACATATGTGTGTGTACAATAAATCATAAATTCTTTGAATATTTATTAGAATGAGATGCACGACGGATTATCAATGTCTTCTTTATATATAGAATTTTAATACATATATTCAATTATTAATATAACTAATTAGATTAACTATTCAAGTTTGAGTAATTTTTCCTTAATTTTGAAAATTTTTAGCGTATCATGATTTTGATTTAATATATTAATTTTTAATTATAATTTAGAGATAAACATTATGTAGATTCAATTGGTAACAACTTCCCACAAATAAAAATACATACTAGCTAATTAGGTTGCGGCGGGGCGGGTCATGGGTCAACAAGTTTGGACCCGTGCAGGTCATGGGGCGGGGCGGACCCGCCCCGCCAAGTCATGGGGCGGGTCCGGGTCTTGCAATACCCGCCCCGACCCGACCCATTGCCATGCCTGATTATCGGTAGGAAAGTGTACTTTTCGGTTGGTAAGTACTTAAATTGCAAAAAATATTAGTTACGTGACCAAATTTGTGAGCAAGTAAGTATCAGAATTAAAAATGGGCACAGAGTAAATTTATGGGATCAAAATTACAAATTTTCCTTTTTTTCCTTAGCTGACCCCAGTGGCGTATCTAGAGTGGGAGAAGGGGAGCAGCTGCCCCCACTCAACCCCCACCCAACCTCATATATATACATATTTAAAAAAATAATTATACATATATTTGTATGCTGAACACACATAACATATACTATAATTGCGCGATATGGGCGTAAAGAAGAATGTGGTGTAGCGGAAAGGGGCGTGAATATGTCTGAACTCGTTTATTAGGTCAGGGGTTCAAAACCTTCCTCTTTTTTTGTTGTTTCCCATTTTAAATTCCTATTCATGATCTTCCTTGTATTCTTTTTTAAACTTTTAATCAAATTTAAAGTGACTTAATGTATATTTACACATTTTAATAGTTAAACTTTATTATTTTAGAGTTAAAATATACTTCAATACATTTTACACATAATATAAATTCTTTTTTACATATAATTTTGCATTTACAATTTAAATTAATTTTAAATTCACACACCACATGTCCCTAGCTTATTTAAAATTATTTATTTATTAACATAACATCAAAGAATTAAAAACATTGTGTCAAATTTATTTCTCGCATAGTGAAATTTGTTAAGTATGAATTCATGTTTTTTTTGCTGACTGATAGTTTTATTTATAATGAATTTTTATTATTTTTGTTAAAGTGGTCAAGTGCTTGCAGTGGCGGAGCCACTCATGTTAAAAGGTATTCACATGAACACCCAATATTTTGAAAAACATGTAGGTATATATCTGTAAATTTGGTATAATTAGTTATTAGTACTCTTTAAGTTTGTAGTTGTAAAAAAGTATTGAACATCCAAAACCTAATTTCCAAATCCGCCACTGAGTGCTTGTGACATACATGAAATAATATATACTCCATCTAGCTCAGAAAATTTTCCCGGTTTGATGTGGATCGGATTCTAAGAAAGTGATAATAAAGTTGAAATGTATGATTTTGGTTGAGTAAGAAAAATATAAATGAATGTAAGTCACACAAAACTTTTCAAAAAGGAAAATGAGAAGAAATTTTTGAATATCCCAAAAAAGTGAGTGAGAAAAATTTTATGGGACGAAGAAAGTAGTATGAATTCGCCCCTCTCACTTCAATTCCTGGATACGCCACTGGCTGACCCAATCCTACCAAAAAAAAATGCAAAATTTCCTTTACACTTTAATATTTGTATTATATTACGGTCCCCCTTGGACTGAAGTCTAGCTCCTCCCCTATCCGGGGGTACTTTTTTGAGCAAGAACAAGTCTTAAGCTAAGGAATGTACTTCGAGCATACTAATGCCCAACAAAAGAGAGAACCGACAAAAATGGATTCTTTTTACTTGATACGTGAGTTACTACATCATATAAATAGGTGTGTGATTTTTACTTTATTGGGAAGCTTTAACAATAGAAGGAAAAAACTTAAAATAAGAAACATAATAACGGGGAATTGATTCCTCCATTACATATTATACCGATCTTTAATTAATCCTTTAATAACAGGCACCTGATACTATGGGTTAAGCATACATAAATGAGACATCTTTATTTTTCTTCCTATTTCATGTTAGCTGACGAACTTTGTGTTGCACGCTATCTTCGATTCTTCCATGTTAGATATGTGTGTATCATCAACCATGCATTCATATGCATCTCGTCCTCGAGGTGTGACAATTTGGATACAAGGACGTGATCACATTCACCAGTTCTCAAGTTGTGTAATTATTTCCTAGCCTATCGATCAATAATTAGTGTTCAAGCTTTCCATTGTGCAGTATTTGTTAGCCTCTACGAATAACTTTTGGCACTGTTATTGGATGTCCTTCCTCAAACAAAGATGAGGTTGTCTTTTTCTTGGACCCTTTTGTACATTTCAAAAGGGAAATATGGAATCTCAAGTGTATGCACGTTTTTTTGGAAGTTTTAGGTGGCATGCAACCTGAACAATATGCTCAAAAAAAGGAAATAGACCATAATAATAGCGACAAGAAAATTTCTAATTTTGCCACGATGCAACTAGGGTTGCACAATAAATTTTTTAACCCGTACAACTTAGCTGACGCAACCCTACCCAAAAATAATCATGGGCTGAATATCTATAAATCCACACATGATGGGTTGGGTTGTGGAAGTAAAGCCTCAAAACTGATGATACCCAACCCAAGTGATGGAAAGGTAACTTTGTGACTCTTCAATGGCGTTCCGTTCCGTTTTCATCCTTCAAAATTGAAAATATTATGATTATTATCCTTCTTCCATGCTCCCTGACCGCTTACACAAGGATGCCTTGATGTTGTTACACAAATAAAGTATAGTTTTATAAAAACAAATTGTGTGTAACATGTTTTTAACATGTTGGCCGAGCCTAAAATTGACTACAACAGTGGCCCACATTAAAGGTCCAACTCGAAGTAGTTTTTTCTCTTTTTCCCAACTTAATACATTCATTCGTGCTTTAACAACTAAAATTGCACACACGTAAGGTGTTTAGTAACCAACCTATATCAATTAGGTAGGCCCAAAAGTATAGTCAACCTGGCTGAACCTGCTCGATCTGCAACCCTACGTGGAACAAGGTGTTGGCAATATGGTTACAATTTAATAGCACCAAATCACAAAGATTAATTGTCTCTCAAAAGTTTGTATGCAGTGTTTTGGGTAGGTGATGGCAATCTTTAATGTACTCATACACTATATGTGCTTTTGTAAACTTGGGTGTACAAGCTGAGGTTATAGGATGGGAGCACTGATATATGCCTCGAAGTGGCGTTTTCTTGGGACTTTCATGAAGTGAGCTAGTGTTGAAACCGCACCCAACCTAACATATGTAATTCCTCCATTTTTATGGCCAAGCAAATGTAAGATTGCATAAGTATTGTTCTACTACTCAATTCATAACTTCGACTTAGTAATCCATTTATGGGTGACAATTGCTATGGTGAAGCATTGTTCCACTTAAGTAAGATAGTACTTTCCAAAAATTGATCAAGAATATTTTATTGCGGTTGGTGATAATGGAGGATGGAGGGCCATGTAATTTAAGCATTATTGCAATGAACATCATGAATTGCTTTAATGAAGCAAACAATGACTATAGACATTGTCGTTGAATGGAACGCATATAAGAGTTTGTATAAGGGGTGGTGGTGAATTGGGCTAATATAGAATTAAATTTCAAAAAACTGAATTACATCATTGGATGAGGGCGTTGGAAAAGATTGTGCTTGATTGAATTTGTGTATGCATGGCTATGAGATGTGGTTGTTGGAAGTTCTCGAACTTGATTATATCCAACAGTGTTGGGAGGAGCTCACAAAGCCATGAAATGGGAAGATGGTTCCTCAACTTGAGAATCGAGTTCCTCATATCATCAAGGAGCATCTGCCACGTGTTTGTTGAACCTCTCTTTCTACAACAAATTGGTACGGAGTACTCTAGTCTATAATAATAGCATAACGTTCACACACATGTGAGGAAGCTTCTTGTAACTAAGGGCTTATTTTATGACTAGTATTAAAAAAGCAAGTGGGTGTTCCTCTAGCATGTGTACCACACCCTGCCCCTGAGATGAAGCGTCAATTTCCGAGATGAAAGGTCGAGAGAAATATGACAACCATAAGACCAGAACTTGTGCTATTGCTTCTTTCAATGAACAAAAAGGCATTGTCTCTAGTGACGGGAGGAGACCATCTTTTAACATTGTATAATGGTGTTGCAATAGAGCACATTGGTGTACAATGTCCTATTAAAAACCCGATAAATCGAAATTTTCCCACAATTGCGTGAGTGAAGTAAGTTGCGGCCAATCCACCATGGTTGATATTTTATTTCAATATCTCTCGACTCCTAAAAAACAATTTTTGTATCCTAAAGTACTTCTGAACCAACTATGAACTCTAAGGTACATACTTCTAGAACATAAATTCTCCAAACAATAGAGATTCTTGTGATTTCATTTGTGAATAGCTATAAACTATATATTGGGTGCATGTGTAGTTTTTATGTTATTTAGAAGCTTAAACAATAGAAGTGAAAAAACTCAAAATAAGGAAACACAAAGAATTGGGAAATGATGGTTCCTTACCGAGTTACCGATTATACCAAACTGCAATTAATCAACCCCTTCAATAATAGGCCAATGATACTACAAGTTAACCATATATGGACGAGACATCTTTACTTGCTATTCCGTGTCGACTAGCATACTCCCATGATGCATGCAATCTTCAGCACCTTGCTTCCAACATTCTGATTTGAAAGGGAATTTGTCTCCAGCACATGACTGCCCGTGGTTGGAAGCAAGAAAAACAGAAAACAGAGAGGCACATCTTTATCAAGAACACAAATGGATCTAATGAGATATCTCTAATCCCATGGGTCACTCAAAAAGCAAAATAAATAAAAAGTATACTTATGGTAAAGAGATATGAACGACAGCCAGGGTCCTATCGCCCCTAAAGGCAGTCTTAGTCTAGTCCATTTTAATATATGTTAGAACACTGGTGGGCTTTGACTGCTAATCTATAACGGTTTACGCCACCGTTGAATAATGTTGTCTGCCCGACCCCCATGTTCTTATAATTTAAAAAAGAGCATCAACATTTAGCCATATTGTCACTTGAGCAAATTGTTCTCAGAATTGCAGGAACGAGTTTCCAGTTCAGGCGTCTTCCTCTTTCTACCAGAACCATCTGGAGGTCTGCAAAGCAATGGAATCGTAACCAATAATACAAAGTTACTATAATGGCCAAAATATTGAATATACACTCTATAAGTGAAGTAATGAACTGAGGTCTGATGGGCTATAACAGACAGGGTTACATAGTTAATATCATTCAATGACCATCTTACAACTACAATCCTTGATCTATATATTTCATGCTCACAAGTCACAACAACTAAAAGATGATAGAGAATATAAATTATATTATTTGTAGTATTTGACCTCAACTCTTAGGCAAAGAAGCTGTTTTAAAAAATAAAAGTGGATTTAGAAGCACCAAATTCAATACGCACATTTCCTATCGAAAAATTGATCCTTCATGGAAAATTTGATCAATCACAGCTTTTAGGTTTTTTTCATCATTTTCAAAACTCAGATAGGACAACCTCAGGGGAATAGGGTGCTATGTGGTTTCTAACAACATGATCATAAGTTCATCATTTGTTCCAAAATTTAGATTATTATTACAATGTGAGTTTAACATCCCATAGTGAGGTATGAATTAGATATACTAAATATGCAAGGTAATTGATATAATAGTTGGAATATGGATCGATTTGGGTACGCGAAAATGAAACAGAACAGAAAATACATCCCAAGAAATTATTTTCTTGTATTTGACCTGTTAGGTCATTTCAAACCAATTTCCGACCAGAATAAAAAACAACATATAAGATCTCGAGTTACTCCTCTAGTCATGTTTACTTTTTTGGGGTGGAACATATTGTCCTTGGAAAATACTTAGCAAAGCTATTAGTAATAAATAAATAAAAGGAGTATGAACAAGTGTCTAAAAGAAATTTATTGTCATCATTATCACTACCCCAGTGCCGCAAAGGCTCCCACCTATGGTGGGGTAAGGGGGGTCAGATGTACGCAGTCTTACCCCTATACTAAAGCACAGAGAGACTGTTTCCGGATGACCCATAAAAGAAATTTATTGTGTTTAAGCAAAAAATCTTACGCTAACTGTAAGGTAGTATCGGAAACCTCTTCCACCAAATCACCATCACATGCTGTTTGACTCTCAGCGCCATCTTTGCTAGATGAACAAGTTCTTTGTGCAGTAGGATGATATTCAAGATAAAAAGTAGGGGGGGTTGCTGCACTCAGAACTGATGGGTGTAATCCTCTTAACTCTTCTATCTATAGGTGTGTTTCATCATACATACAAGAAAATAGGAAGTCTGTCAAGAAACCAAATTATCTCATCAAAATTAGATAATTAAAATAAAAATACTAATGTTTTGCCTCTCTGCGCAAAATCTCATTCTCCTGCTGAGCCAGCTCCTCCTGGATAGCAATATAGAACACATTACATTAACACAATCAGAAAGTCGTGAATAGGAAATAAGTGATGTCAAGATGGTATCATTGCATTAATTGCTGGTTGAGATCATTAATGACTGTTTAAGCTCATTCATCACAGTTTAAGGTCACAATATCATGCCTGCATTTAATAAACCTGATATGGAAGTACCAAAGTATAGTATATCCAGTTTAGTATAAACCATTGTACTAATATAACCACTGTTTGTGTCTATATCGTGCAGTACATAGTTGAAACTATAAAAAAAAGAGTAATATTCGGTTACTTAGCCAATGTACTACTCTTAAAAGTCATGCAAGAGTATACATCCCAGCATAGAACCAATCAGAATGATGGGTTATTTGGCTGACATGGTTTAATCACATGAATTTTCTGAATCGATTTTTTTAATTAATACAATCATTTCAACCAAATAAGTAGGTCAAAACCTACCTGCTTATTGTATAAATTCAGTTAATGAGCAACATATGCAGATTAACCCAGAACTCACTACCAAGGAAGTCCTTTAGACTCGGTGTGAAACTTTAATTTACCTCACTACCTCTTCAAAGAGAAGGGCATCCAACATAAAACTTGGCCAATGTTTCTATGTGCTAAATTATTGTGTCAACTAATTCAGGTTAGGATGAAGATGATGAGCAGTCAGACGTGATCAGTATAAACCATTGTACTAATCTATTCACTAAATCATTTACTTAACCAGTTTTACCTGTTTTCTCGAGTGTTCTAGTTGTTCCAGCAGTAATTGTTCCTGAAACAAACAAAGTACCATTACCATATTTAGTCCCTATAAAATCCACGAAGAAAAGTTTCTAAATACGTATTACCTTTGGAACCAGGAGATTCTAGGGAAAGAAACTAGGAAGGAAAATAGAGAAGAAAATGAGAACGAAATAATACTCTGTATTATTTATGTTTGTTGATACTCGATTTCATAAAATTATGTGTATGAACTCTACGGAATCTAAATATGTGTAGTATTTAAAAAAAAAAGTATATCGTTTTTCACTGTATTTCTCCCGAGGTCAAACTAAAACGTGAAAACGACTTCCCATTTTTCTTTCCCTAGCATCGACCAGGATCCAACATACACCCTTATAGAATAGCTTAATGAAAAAAAGTAATGTCACAATTGAAGACACATAATCCGATACCTTTCTTCCCTTTATAGCTAAGAGTGCTGCATCGAGTTTATGCTCAAGTTGCCTTAATTCGTACAAGCCCATACCAGTAAGATCCTTACCCAACAACTGCCTAATATTACATCCAAGTTCACTGATACTAATTAATTGAAGTGCTTTCAGTTAAAAAAGATCAGGACATCATAATTAGATGACTAAAAGAAGACATACATCTGCTTTGATTTAAGCTCTGAGATTTCATTGTTCAAAGCTACCACTTCCCTGCGCTCTACCTGCTCATTTTTAGAATCAGAAACTCAAATAGTGGTCTGAAAAAGTGGGGAGAAAAGGATTACCACTTAGCTTGGCAAGCTTATTCTACATCCAGGAAAAGTTAACAAGTAAAACAGTAGAGGGTAAAGATATATGCACATCCCATGGAGTTTTAGTAAAGAAATCAAACACTTTATAGTTATTACCAAGAAAATAAAAAGATAACAATAGAAGTGCTGATAAAGTCAATGCAGAATCCCTTGCAAGTTGAATAGAAATTCATTATGTCCCTCCGCTAGAGGGACACCATGGTTTACTCACATAGTCACATTGTTTGCACGCCATACGAAAATAGTATAATACCCTTAAATTTGTTCATATAATTCCTCATTCAATGATGCAAGTGTAAAAAGATAATGTCGTAGAGTCAATGTATAATGTGGCAAACTGGTGCACTATAAACTATTACGGGTACATATAAAGTTTGCCAGTTTGCCACATTATACACTGATCCCATGACACTATAAACTGTAAAGTGTAAAAAAACATCAACATGAACAAATTTGTTCATAGAATTGCCTATTCAATGTTCATAACATCTTTTTCCTAAAATCTTTTGCATATACTAGGATGCAACTGAGTAAACTATAGTGATCCCATCTGTGTAAAAGAAAGCATGGGTCGTTGATAACATTAGTCTCTTTTGATAAGAAATAATCTTTCACCGTTGGCTTCTTCTCTGCAGCAACAGTTGTATCTTTAGAAGCCACGCATTTCTTGTACCTTGACAATGTGTGCGCCATGCTGCATATAGAGATGCCAAGCATTACGTATAAATAAAACAATATGGAGTATATTTATTAGCTTATATTTCATTAGGTAAAGAAACATATTTATAACTCATGACAGTGGACATCATTGATTTGTTCAAAAAAATCAAGGGGAGATGTGAAATTGCAGGAATTAAAAAATGCTTCTAGATTTATATTTTGTCACTCATGACACCACTAATGACATCACTAATTGACATCACTAATGACTCACATTATGAGCTGTCACGTATAAAGGTAAGTAGGTAACAGCAATTAAGGATAAGATTGTTTATTTTTTCATGTTCCATTGTTAAGACTTAAGATGTCTTTTCGAGTTTTCGAGAAAAGCAAAACCTGTGCTCCCAAAGTCAGCCAATTGTAAATTTAAAGACTCCAAATTATGGACCATGCACAATATCCAAAACCTTGTAGGATAAAATAAATTGACCTCGATGCAGTAAAAAGGAAGAGGTAATGCAAACCCAAAAAAAAGATAATGACATAGTATAAACTTTACCTAAATTCACCCAATACTTCACTAACATTGGCTAATGTACTAACAATGACCTAAAAGCTCATCTTTATAGCTACACAAGAAACAGTGACCTAAATTCTCTAAGCATCAATTTATAACTACACAAGTTACTTCCAACCTCTGCATTTTTATGACAAAATAAAAAATAAAAAAACAGAACTAATTGGATCCAAAAGCTTATTATTACTAGAGGAAAACTGGGAGTCAAGAAAAGCAGGAAAAACAAAAAAAACAGAACTTTTTGAATTTGAGAGGCAAAAGATTCAATTTTACTACCAAAGACAAACAACCGGGCTTAATATTCAAAATCAGGCAAGCTAATCACAAATCCCTTCAAAATTGTTAACTTTTTGTCCAAATAGAAATCAATCTCAAGAATGCCACAAGAACCACAATCAGCACTCCACAAATTTACCTTGTGCTGGAGTACTCAAAAAGCTTATCCGTACTGGAGAAGATGATAACAGCAACCTCTGCATCACAGAGAATGGAAAGCTCCTGAGCCTTCTTGAGAAGACCAGCCCGTCTCTTCGAAAAAGTCACCTGCCTATTATTCACATTCTCGATTAACTTTATATCAATCTTTCCTCTGCCCATGTTTTCTATGGATGCTAAATCAAGAAAACAAACACACCCACAGCTTCCAAATCTCTATTCTATGTACAGATACCAAATCACGCCCTCCCCCCTCTCTATGTTTCTTTGTTTCTTTCTTTCTTTATCTATGTACAGATACAAGGGTTCAGACCGGGCGGTGGCGGTGAAGGAGGAGTTGCGGTGGAGGGGCGGAGACGGTGGGTTGGCGGTGTTATTATATAGGGAATATGAAAAGACGAGGACAACGAGGAGAGGAAAAATGTTGCTAAATATAGAGAGAGGGGTATGGAAAAGGGGTAGAGAGAGATAAGAGAGAGAGAAGTTGGAGAGTCCCCAAATGGCGAGAGTCTGGAAACGGCAAGCTTGCATGGGATTTTGCCATTCCATCGTCCTCTCCTAAGCGCTGCATGACTCTGTTTTTGCCACATTTAGCTTGACTTCCCCCCACCCCCATTGGTCCTTTTTCGGGCCCCGCCTTTTGCTATTTTCACTCTTTTCTTCTCTCTTGGGTATTTCCTCAAACATTTGGCATTAATGGATTTACCTAAAACAGACTGCGTACCAGGGGCGTTGCCGTAATTTTGCATGACCCGTCTAGCTTTTTTAAATTGCCATTGATGGGGGTTTGCCTTAAAATAGCCTCCGATGCGAGGGTGAAGTGGTATTTTACTCTTGATTTCCAAATTCCCGCAATCTCTTTTCTTCTGGTCTTTCTTTTTTTGATGCAATTCAAGAGAAGGAAGTAATCTATCTTTGGTAATCGCCAAAATAAATCAATCTACTGTGCTCTCTATTTTTAATAATGAGTGTTGTTTGAGATTTCTAAAAACATACATTGTATATTAAGAAAGAACAGTTCTACACATACATTTAAGATTGACAATAATTGCACGAGTAACATTTTCAAATTACATGATTAGAGCATCTCCAATGGTAGAATATGCACGGTGTATATGTGGCATGAGAAATAGCCACATAAATATTAGTAAATAAATTCTTTCTCTCCTTATTTAAATGATTTCATACAGTTTTGGTAGGTTTTTCTCCGCAATGTCAAAGAGACCGTCTAGATGTTGACATTGTCGTAGACATTACAGGGAAAAACATACCAAAATTGTATAAAATCATTCAAATAAGGAGAAAGATAATTTATTTGTTAATATTTATGTGGTTATTTCTCATGGGTTTAGCTTTTTCAATCACATATTGTATACCATCTCGGTCCTTTAAAAAAAATTCATATTTTCTTTTTATAGATGTCTCTAAATAAGTTCACCATACTTATTCAATAAACAAATTTCTATTAGTGCACTTTACTGCCCTTAATTAAATATGTCAAACATTGTCAAAATAGTGTACCACACAGTAAAATTCATCTCTCAATAAAAAGATCATCTCACTAAGTCAAAGGAAAAAAACATTTACTTAAAATCAGAGGTGGAAGCAGAACAATTTTTGAAGGGGGGCTGAAAAATATGTCAAAAGCAAGAAGATTTAAAGCATTTATGTAGTATTATTTTTATTACTCCCTCCGTATCACATTATATGTCTCATTTGCTTTGCACATAACTCAAAATAATTATTATACACTTTATAAAAAAAATAAGAGGTTTTTGATGCTGTAGTAGTACTATAACTGCTTTTAAGGTGAGTCTCTTTTCAAAAATGTAAATGAGACAATTAATTTGATACTTCCAGAAATTGAAAGTGGGACAGATAAAATGATACGGAAGGAGTATATGACTTTTAGGGTAAAAATGACAAAGCCGTCTACAAAGATCTCTAATTATGTACTCAATCTCTTGTACTTGATATCTAAAGAAAGGATGAAAGGCAATAATAGATTTACGCAACTCTAGATCAATAAATATCATTTAGATTTAATTCCACACAAAAATGTTTTTCCCTATTACTTTTTCGTTAGCTCGTTTGTAATATCCACCACTCGTATTACAAATTGTGATAGAGATAGAGGTAACCTAACAAATTTTAAAATTATAAAACCATAAATTATTAGAAGATGAATCACATTCGCATTTAAATCTGAAACATATCCTAACAATTCACATATTAGCCAATTCTATGTTCTGAAATTATTTAAACTACTAAAAAAATTTAAAGGGGTAAACAAGTTAAATATTATTAAAAAAAACTAAAAATTTGAAACAAGAAAATAGAAGAACTACAACAAGGAATTTTAGAAATAATTGAGTAAACTAGACAACAAATTAGTACAAATTAAAAATTATACAACCCTACTGTAGTTGGCTTGAACCTCAAAAAGTTTTAATTGGTTTTTAAAATTATACATTTATACGCATAAATACACCGTACAGCCGGTTGTACCGTGCGCACGGTACAACCGGCCTTTTTTAGGCTTTTGCGCTCTTCCCGCCCTAGCAACGGCTTCTCCGATCTTCGTTCCTGTGTCTGTGCCTTCGCCCTGCTTCTTCAATTTTGGTGACTTCTTCTCTCTAATCTCGCGCACCAGGTAGACCACCCCTCTCGCCGCTCTCTTCTCCTCAAATTCTCCTGCTGCACAAGAGAGGGCTGCTCTTGGGGGTTTCTTTGTTAGCTCGTGCTGCGAGAAGGTAGAAGAATAAGGGGAAGGCAAATTGAAAAATGATTTAGGAGTCTGAGTTCATACTTCTGGCCGACGAATCTGGAATGAGTTTATATTAAACTCAAATGAGTATCAACTTAAAAGGAATGAACAAACACAAATGAAATTATGAGCATAGTAGACATTTCAAATGAGTTTTTTGAGTGCTCATTTCGTAATTTATGTATGCTCATTTGATATATGTACAATACTCATTTTAAAATGTCATAGTCATGCGTATTTCAGAATGAGTTTTATGTTAAACTTAAATGAGTATAACGCCCAAAATGGATGAGCACACACAAATGAGTTTTTTAATATTTTGATACTCATTTTGTAAGTTATGTATGCTCATTTGGTACTGTTTTATGCTCATTTTAAAAGGTTGCACATGTTAAACATATCATAATACATTAGGTTCACATATTGAAATTAAATGAACTTGATTATAGACATAATTTAAGACTTTAATAAACGAAAAAATAATAAACATAATGTGATATATGAGGAATGAAGCAGATATCACTAATGCTCACCGTTAGGCTCATAATACTAAAAAACATACTTGATGCTCATCAAAATTGATTCAATGCCCATTTAAGAGAATCCGGGATTTTCACTAAAATTACACGTTTGCCACCGGCTGTACACGTATTACTAAATTGCTTTTTACAACACAAATTACTCGATCGTTTGGTTCTAGTAAAAATCTGATAAGCATATTCTACGACGTCGCTTCGCTTCGGTTTGTATCAATTGACCTGATGGCGCCGTTTTGTGAAGTTAAAAAGAAACAAAAACATAAGCCGCTGAACGGAGTTGGAATAGAGCTGCAACACTGTAGTAGCCATGGAAAACGACGGGCATAGTTGAAGAAGACTAGGGGCGGCATGAAATTTATAGCTTAAAATTTCCGGCAAAGGGGTGGCGCTGGCACCGGCTCGCCCCGGCTTGGTTCCATCCCTACTTAAAATGCGTGATATTCACCCTTCAGAAGTTTAAGGATGTTTTTATTTGAAATTTTCTGGTCCGGTCTTGTAGATAGCTGGTCATTGTGTATTTTATAACTGCAGAAATATGATCTAGTCTAGAATTAAAATAAGGTCAAGTAAAAACATCCTTACTCCATATACATGCAGTATCATATTTTTTGCTAGCAAGATGGTTGTCAATTATGATGTTTCTAATGGTACTAAAATTTTTGTCTAGCACAGTGTGGTTACTTTAATCCTTGTTTGGTCTTGTAGACATCACATGTATGTTTATTTTACTACTATCTAAAAATGTCATGGTTTGTTTAAATTTGATCGGATCTTGTATGATCTATATTAGTCTAATTTGGTCTGGTCTAGATTTTTTTTTTTGGAAAATAATAATTTCATTAGTAATCATTTCTGCTTAGATTTGCTATCATTCATACCACAATGAGGTTTAAGAGCTTTAGCTTTTAAATTATGTTTCTTAGGTTTGTTAACTTCAGTATTCGGATGAGAAAACACATATCAAGGGTCATTAGAAGAAGACAGAAGAAAGGTATGTGATAGAGCTAAATGATTGATCGCTTGAACTTGAACTTTCATTAAAATTATTCTTTGAAACGTGAGAGTAGGAGGAGGGGGAGAATGTGTCTCTACTTAGAACACGTTTTAGAAGATAAATCTCATTTAAAAGATATAGGAACCCAGTTATCCAACAATCACATATCATAGTAGAGAGGAGAGGAAGAAAGCTTAGATTCAATACCAAAATGATATAGAACTCCAATGCAATGTATGAAAATAGCTGGTGCAACCCACATTAATAGATTGGATACAAGTAAAATGTCTCAACAATCTCCCCCTTTGTGTTCAATCGTGTTGAACTAGCATTTGAGTGTGGGTATTTTTGTCTTTGTGTTGAATCAAGCAATGTAGAGGAGAGGGTAGATGAGATTGGTCGAGTTACTCCTCTTTTCTCTTGATCTTCAGTGCAATTCAACTTCTTCTTCTTTTCGAAAGGCTTTCTGAAGAAATTCTTACAATCTCCCTTTTAGTGTCTTCTTGGCAATTTGTTCTTTGATGCCGGGGAGTTGAGGGATCTTCAATATTTTGCTTGTAATCCTTGCCTTTCAGAAGTTGCTCTTGATCGGCTTGAATGAAGTCCAATGGCGCCTCTCTAATGAATGTTCTGAAGAATTTGACGCGCACACGAGACTCATCTTCAGTACTTGAGTATCCCACCTCTATCTCCTCCAGAATGTAGCCTTTACGACTATTTGATGTGAATGTTTTTTAGGAGAACTTGTCGATGGCACAACGGAAAATGATGATTCACTTGTGACAATATGTTGACCATTTGACTTGAATCTGATTTGGCAGTTTTGATGAACTGGAGAGAGTAGAAAGCTGTCAATTTTTGTGTTGAAGGAGAGAAGTATCTGAGAATGATTTTTAAAAGTTTATAAGCATGTGGACCACTCTCCCCCTCGTGATGATCCGATGAATCGAGATGTCATGCATGTATTCATTTTTTATTCTGGGTAACATGGAAAAAATTAGAAACCAAAGAAACAGTAAAGACCAGAGACCCTGTGGTGTTCCGTTAACACAACATCAATGAGAAAATACTGATGTGTGGCCTGTATATATAATAATAGAAGCGTTGAAGCTTTTATGGGACTTCTGACCAACCATCGTGAATGATCTATAGTAGATGTCACTATGGTCTTCATGACATGATAACGAGGATCAACATATAAAAATGTA